CATTGTTGTATAAAATAAGATTCAATAAATTCCTCATATCATTGATGCGCATTACATTCGCCGACAAACAATTTTTTTATTATTTAAAGTTTTAAAATGGGGATGCGCATTAGATTCGCATAAATACGGTATATTTTCGTCTATTTTATTTGTTCTTCGTCTGAAATTAAAGGCTTTCCGTTTGTTTTGTGTTAGGAATTTGTATGTAAAGTACTGCTGTTATATAAATAAATTAGTGGTAAGTTCAATAGTCCTTTGTGATTCAAGAATTCCTATGAGGAAAATAATTTTTGTTTATGAACTTTTTCGGAAGACAAACAGGCTTCAGAAACAAATTAAATTCATTAACTAAGGTTTCACTGTACCTACATTATATCTAAAATCATGGAGGGGGGAATTCTGTTGTACTTTTGAATGTGCCACCTAGATGGTATAGTGGTTAGCATGGCCTACTGCAATACCACAGCCCTAAGGTCAAATTCTGTAAAAAGCATGGTTGTAACTGTCCACAGGAGGTAACGGTGGCCGCCTATTAGGTGCCTTCACATTTAAATGGCCACTTTTGGCCTTAGAAGTGGCCTATGTTGAATAAGAACCAGTAATTCATTTCAGTTAAATTTGCCAACTGTATTAATAATTTCCCTTATTTTAGGAAAGGTTTACATCCAAGTTTGGTACTCCATCAGCAGAAGCATTAATTCTAACAACTAAATTCCTGCAAATTTGGTCATTTGTGAAGCTTGTGGCTTCTCACATATTTCAAAGAATAATCGTTAAACAGATTTTAAATCTTTTGAATGTTCTGCTTGGGAAGAAAGGTTTCCAATGCATAGATTCTGAAAAGTATATAAACACTTTTAAAGCACGTTAACATTAGCATGTTTAACTTGTGAAATTAGTTCAACTGTAAATAATGTGGAACTTATCATTTCACTTTTTAACACTTATGAACAGCATAAAATGAAATTACCTTAGCACTTAAGTTAACAATATAGATGTAATTTAGTAATCATTTTTTGCACTTTTTGAAACTAGCTTTTAATTCTTTTTCAGTTGTTATATGATGGCCATCATCCTTGACAATTTTATTAGAACTGGTTTTCATTAGATTTAAAATTTAACTTAAGGATCTAATCATTAAATTTGCAATAAATAAACCAGTTTGCTGGAAGCCTGCTAACATTTGAAAGGATATCAAATATATTTTCATTCTGGAATTCATTTGTATAAATTCTCATTTTATTTCACACTTTTTGCCCTTAACTATGAGTATGGAGTAATCCATTCTTCTGATATTAAAGTTATAATCAGAATAAAATTATTACATAGTATTATTAAATACATTTCAAATATAAATACAAAATCATCATTCAGCATTTACTTCTATATATTAATTATTCTGTATCTTTGTTAAATTTATTAAAAATTTATTTTATATCAATTTGAACCAAAAAAATGAAATCATTTTTCTTTCGTTCTCTTTTACACTCTTACTTTCAAAAGTAAATAAATTGTATGATTGACTGACAGGTAAATAAATTGTATAATTTTGAATGTAATGACTGCATTTTATTATTTTGAAACAACCAATCCTATAAATTTAATGCACAAACCATTTTTCCATTTAAGCATTGTGTTCTTATGGTATCAAAATGCTTTCAAATGTTATTGGATAATCATTTTCCCAAATATTTTACTTTCTGAGGTACATATGAATCAGCATTAATACTACATCTTAATATACAGAGGCTGTACACACTTTTTTTAGACGATGAATATTGTATTCACAAAACTAAATTACATAAAATTCTTGTGTTTTAAATGTTCTATTTGACATCCCTTATTATGAATTATCTTTCGACACCGAAATTTCTATGATAATAATGCCTTTTGAAGTGGCAGAAGAGGTATTCTATCCCATTCCTCCCGAACAGCTTTCCAGAGTCCTGTTAGGATTTTGGGACAACGTTTGGATAATGCAGTTTTTAAAAGTCCGAAAGCACAAAAATCCATAGGTGACACATCAGGAGATTTAGTAGGGATATCAGTGAAGGGTTTGATACCATTGATACCAGTTTTTTGTTCCATTTTTTTTAGGAAATTTACAGTGGATTTTGATGTGTGACTGCTAGCTTTGTCCTGATGGAGTCTCACAGATTGATGGCACTGTGGGTAAAGCGATGGTATTTCATTCAGAAAAATTGGCGATAAAAAATATGTTCTGATAGTATTTGGAGTTAATCTTGACATTTTTTTGCACTTTCTTTATTTTTAACTTGCCATTATAAGAAAAACCAGCAACAATCATGAATCCCTTAGAAAAACTTTCTTTCGATTCTTTGAACTTAAATTTTTTCTCCCTTTTTATGATAATAAATGGCTCTTTTTCTGTTACAATCACTTAAATACACTCATGCTTCATCTATTGTGACAATTGTTTTCCATTTTTCTTTGGATAGGTGTTTCTCATATAGAAATTCTGCAGCGCATCCTGCGTTGAGTGATATGCTTTAGAAGAAGATGATGGACATTGCCTTTTTTCGCTTTCTTAAGATTTAAATCAACGTTTATCATTTTGTTTACAGTGGACACTGAGCATTTTAATGATTTTGCAACTGTCCTTTGACTAGGGGGATTTTTTTTAACATTAAACAACGTACCTTTGCAATAGTCGAAGATGTCCGTTTATTCCTTGGATACTTGTTTGGAATTTTTGTCCCACTTGAGGTTCCAATTTGACGTTTTTTTTTCCTTTCTTGTTGATGATATTACCTATCGATGCTTTAGATATCACAAAACCATGACTCTCAGATCCTTTTTGGATAACGGAGTATGCATGTTTCTCTTCGGAAATAGCGTAAATGTAGCCTTCGAAGCACTGCTTTGTTAAATTCGCCATTTTGAATAAAAACAAAACTATCAAGCCACAGACGATAATTTTGACTTTTAAAAACATAGTACAATTTCAATTACTTCTTTTGCAGCAAACGATTTTTTATTACCGCTTACCAAAATCGTCTCAAAAATGTGTGAACAGCCTCTGTAGATTTTCTGTTTCTGTACTCATTTTCTAAATACTTACAAATAAGAATCACTCTGAGGTCAAGCACTATAATGCATTAAGAGAAATTTATCATCGATAGTTATTCTATATTTACATACAAGATATCCTATTACTTAGATATGAAATTCTTTGTATTTCTGAGGCACGATCCCAAAGGGCAAACAGTTCTGCACAATCATTTGACATCATTTCATCCCAAACTATGACGCGTCTACTTTTAAATCTGTACATTGCAAGTACTATTGTATCTCATCTTTGGCTGTGTTTAAGTAAAAAAAAAAAAATGTCTAGAATTACTCTTTAAGCAAAATTAGATGTTTTGCATGATTTCTTTTACAATGCTCTTTACATTTACAGCACATAACTCTCCCAGCTAGTCCATTCTCCTGACATGATTCCTCTTAAATCTGATTGAACATATCTGAGACATTTTAGGTCATAAGATTTCAAAAGTCTGCCATTTTCTTGAGCAGACTTAAAATGCATTTAAAGAGATAATTGGAACTTAGTTTCGCAAAATCTTTTCAAATCCTTATAGACATCAAGAACAGTCATTTCAAACAGCATGTAAAGACAAGTAATTAAGGTACTCACATATTATTCACTTAAAGTCGCAGATAATGTTTATATGCTCAACATGCAACTGAATGTAACGTTAATTTTTTGCACCGTTATTAAAGTAAAAATAATCTTTGGATTGCTTTAACACATTAGCCGCTGGCGTTGCGTTGACGCAACAGTCAAAATAAATGAGAAATGCCCAGAATTTATTGCATCTGAAGCCTATATGAGAAGATTTATTGGAATATTATTGCTTACATGATGTCATTCTTTACCTCAAGAAAAAATGTATTGGTCTTTTGATAAGGACATTTCTGTCCCTGTTGTACAAGAATCGATATCACGTTTGCAGTACAGAAATATGAAGCTGAATTTGCATTTGACGATAGTCAAATTGAGAATACTAAAATTATATGAGGTGAGACCGTATCTAAACTTATTAAATATCATCACTTTTTACTACTGGATAATAAAATTCTCTTTATATTTCAGACACAGTGAGAATGCAGCATTATTCCTTTTGCGAACTCCTATTGAGAGTGTAGAATCAGCCCGAAATAGATCAGCAACAGGAAGACCTAGTAAATTCAGCATTCAAAACCCATTGCATGGAGATGGTAGACATTTTATCGTAAAGTCCGTTGATAACAAAAGACTTTGCTGTAAAGGGTACCATAGCCAGACTGTTTATAGATGCAAAGTATGTAATGTAGCTTTAGATCATGATTGTAATCAAGCTTTTCATGCTTGAATTTTTCAATTGAAACAACCTGTATTTGTAAAAGAAATACAATGTATATTTTAATATTAAATTAAGTACGAGTAAAGTGATTTGTAAATTTATAAAACGTTATACAGCTAAAAAGTAATCCTGCGCTCCACTCAAAAGAAACATCACACGAGTACAATCCTACTCACTAAACATATGTAGTCTTATTCCGCTGACGTTGCGCGAAAGCAACACTCGCGTTTTCCACAGGTAAGAGCATTTTTTTTTTATTTTCAATGTAAATTTATGTTATAAATGTTTAATTTAATATTTGTTACTATTTTCATGAGAAAAGAAACATTCCTTGTAGTTTTGGCGGTTAATGGGTTAAGTTAGTGATTTGGTTTATTTTAAATATCATAAAACACTCAAAGGTTATCTGCTAGGGGAAGGGATGTTGTCTCGTATACACTTTACACATGGGGACAACCCCCCATGAAGACAACCCGTTTGCCAGGATTCGAACCCTGGACTGAACTACCAGTATTCAGTGACTTTACCACTCGGCCGCTGGGGGGCACATTTTAAGATAGTGAGAATAACTACTAATATGTGATTTTTGGTGAAAACGGAATATCATAGTGTAGTTTAAAATGAAATGCATACTCAAAGACAAGTACTGATCTTTATTTCTTGACATCAATACTGTGACACAATCATGCAGTCCATAAATTTCAAATGAAATGCATACTCAAACAAAAGTACTGATCTTTATTTCTTGACATCAATACTGTGACACAACCATGCAGTCCACAAATTTCAAATGAAATGCAGATTACTCACAAGTACTTGAAATAAAATACAAAATAAATACAAATTCACATATTTACATATGACCTAAGTATCACATTAGGCACACAAAACATAACAATTGACTGTACATAACAGGAAACTTGACTGATTCCACAATACAGCACAGTACGAACAGCCATCCTTTCATGAAGAAGTAAAATTTTCAAGTATCAATTTATTACTCTTTATATGTTGATGGGTATTATTCTGCAACTAATGGAAATTTATTAGTAAAAATACAATTATACTTCATTCAAACACTTATACTAATTAAAATACTTTACATTTAATATAAAATCACAGTTAGATTAATTTTTTTAATCTTAAAAATAATTAAAGAATTTCAAATCTCTAAAAAATTCTTATTTTTTAAAGATTTTTTTATCCTTAAAAAAATCTTTATATAATCTTTTTTTTTAATACATATTCAACATCAGTACACATTTTTTAAAATTGTTTCTGCCAAATATATGAATTTATTTTACTCCAAAACCAGATTAATGTTTTTCTATAACCGGCTGTTGAAATAGGTGTTTTTTTTTTTTTTTTTTTTTTTTTTTTTTTTTTTTTTCCCTTCCTTCTCAATAAATACATCACAAGTTAGTATATTTTCTAATTCAATCTTTTGTATCTTGACTGCATTGCAGTAACTGTAATGTTTGGCTTTAGAAGAACAGATATATGCTACTTATTGTTATTTTTAAACTTATTTTCTCATATGAAGAAATGCAAGTTTTGTAGCTGTTTATTTATTTACTTTCTAAAACTTTTACTGACCATTTTCAAAACCCGGATTATTAACACTGGTCAATTGCATAGGATTTGCCACTTGTTTATTTTTTTCCCCTTTGTCACTGTTATAGCCAAGGTATATATATACAAGTCTGTATAGTATTTTAAAATTATGATAAATTTCTGATTTTATGAATTTTAAATGAAAAAAATGGAAACCATATTTTGATTATATCTTGATACACATTCTATCTTTAACAAGAGGTAATTTCAAGCAACCATAGCATATATTTTTTATTGAAAAGTTTATAATTTACAATTACAATACTTTCACAACCAGTTGTGTGGAAAGATACAAATTGGCCTTATTTTTTTTTTTTAATTTTAATTTTCCATTAAAATGAAAATATAGATACTTATGATGTTATAAACATCACAACTATACTTATATTTAAAATACAAACACCATGTGCTTTTATGGAAAACTGCCAATTCTGCTTGGGTACTGAAAGTAGTGAAAGGCAATTAGAAAGAGACACTTTAAGAGGTAATAAATGATTCACACCATTAACTGCTTCTATTAGTATTAATAACAACACACACACACAAAAAAAAAAAAAAAAAATTCAGATTTTACAGCAATACCGCAAAATAATTTTAAAATGAGCATATCTTTAGAATTTCTGATACACAGTTCTGCGCTCTGGAGATAAAAAGGTTTTCTCCCCCCGGTAGAGTGTTGCCATTGCTCGCTTTTAAATCATTGAGTTTGTTAATAAAAAATTTTTTAAAGTTTTACAAACTATGAAATAGATAACAAAACAAATTCCAAATCTGGACTTCCAGATGCCCATATTCGGGTGTAAACATACGTTATTCAAAATTGGATGGCTCTAGGTACTGTTGTTTTATCACAATGCGAGAAACATACATATATTTATGCAGATTCTTCATTATTTAATTTCTTTAAATATAACACAGGGCGACAATATTTGGTGGCAACAATTTGAAAAGTGAATTGGACATTTATAGTGAACCAACGCAAAATGCCAAAATGAAAATAATAGTCCTTCAGGCCAAACTGTCCCTTTGGAACTAAAATTAACTTCCTACTATCTGTCATATTAGGTTGGTGTATTTCAAATAGCTGATTTCAAGTTATGTTGGAATTTGCCACTGAAAATACATATGAAGTAACTCCTGGCATTATATGGATGATATTTATGTGCCTGGTAGATATGCAGTCAATAAGCTGCAATGGTGATTTGATTGTTAGCTAACTGTTGTGTTGCAACGAACCATCAAAGCAAACCATGGTTTCTGTACAAGTTAGGGTAATTTTTATTTTTTATTGGAACAGGATTATTCAACATGTTATACAGCAGCAATGCTAACATAGCTTTTAGACCTCATTCAGCTAGTGAATACACATTATCTGTCATTACTTTGCAAAATTTTAATGCAGGCTACAAATTATTGGCAGATATATTACATTTACCAGTGTACTGTGCTGTTGGAGGCTGCAAGAGGGTAGTGGGTGATCCATGATCTTTCTCTCATAAATAAAGCACATTAGAAATAAGTATGCACTGAGAAATAATGTCAACCAGCCAGCAAACTGGTTAGTCATGCTAACTGCTGCACTGATGGGCCTGAGTCTGAATCCTGGAGAAGGCATGAATATTTGTAAGTATATATAGTGTGTCTGTGCGGCGAGGCAGCATTTAAAGTGCATGGTGACCCAAAAGTTTTCTCTAGAGGATGGTGGTAGGGAAAGAGATGTGGGAGACCCTCAGACCATTTCTGGGGTATTATCCCACAAAGTTGGGGCAGAAATGCACAGTTAGTACAGCAGGACTATACTGTATGGCCCTCAATGGTGAAATTCTGGTCTCTTGCTCACTTTTACCTTTACTTGTTGAGAAATAATACAGAGAGGAATTTTGCATCAAACTGTTACCACTCATGCAAAGTGGATCTTGTATAATTAATCATCAGAGATCCATTCAGTGGTTCATTACAAACAAGCATCCAAGGAACTTCCCAAAACCAACTCTTCATCCTCAAATACTTTCTTGTGCGGCAAAATTCATCTTGCACCATTCACCGTACTTCTTCAGATAACATAAAATGATAATCAGACTCTTATAATCTCAAACTTTATAAAACACACCCACTACTTCATCTAAAATAGCTAGTATTAGTGGACAGACATGGTGTCTTAATATTGTATGATAATACGTCACCTCCCCCCTCCCAAAAAGTTAACATTATACAACATGCTGCATACTTACAAAACTCTTCTTTAACCATCATGTTCACCAGACAAGTTCCTTTTTTTTTTTTTTTTTTTTTTTTTTTTGCTATTTTCCAACTGGAAATTTAAAAATTTCAGAAATAACTGTCAAAGATACTTGAGGTGACAGTCTCAAGTGTTCATTTAGGCACAGGTATCACATTTTGACATAACACTGGCAGAGGTGCCTGGATGTAGAGAGAAACAACCTTGGTTGAGGTATTCCTTCCTCCCCGTCAAGGTTTTGTGCATGTGAAGATGTTCCTCAGATGTCAGCCATTTCAAAAACACCAATCCAATATATGTTTACAAGAAGGGCTTAACTTTACAAATTATGAAATGTCTATCATAATTCACATGAAATTGTTTGAATAGCATGGAAATATAAGTATATTAACCCTCTAAGCGGCAAGGCCGTATATATACGGCCTAGAATATTTATTGTGATATCTGTAAGAACATATATATACGTGTATATTAAAATATGTCAACGAAATTAAGGCAATATATCAAAAGAAAACAAATCCATGTATGAAATACCAGTAGAATTTTTACATTAAAATAAAAAAAAAAAAAAAAAAGAATTTGTTCTCATAGTAGTTTGGGGAAATTTGTACTTTCTTAGCGAAACCCTTGGCCGCTCAGAGGGTTAATAAAAATCAATTAATTAACAATATGCATTTTTCATATATTGCATTTACTTGCATATTTTTCCTCCAAGATTTTTCAGCATATGATTTAGAAACTTCTGATTTATGATAATAATGCAAAATATAAGGGCAAATACAAATAGGCATTTTCTGCAAGTAAAAGAATATTATTGATAGTTCTTTGAAATATATGATATAATAATATTAGTGTGTCTTTATGGATGCTTTCTATAAGCTTTTATTTAAGTTCACTCATAGTGTTTTCACATGGTCAAAATTTTGTCATCAATTTTTACCTAAGATTCAGATTTCACATTCTGTACACACATTGTGCTGAAACTCCCCCTCCAAAATTTTATTTATTTATTTATTTATTTTATTTTTGAACTTTTTTTTGGGGGGGGTTACACATATCTTCATTAAATGAACAAACAAAACAGAATTTTATCATTTGTGTTGCTGATTAGTGTATAGAAAAAAATAGTTTAAAATGGAATTTGTATGAAAAATTTAACTTAATTTCAGTTTTTGGCAACTTTTAAAAAAACATTCAATTTTTTCAACTATCTGACATCCATGATTTTAAAATTTCAACACCTAGAAGTTAATTTTGCCAGATTATAACTCAAACAGTTTACCTTCTTTTTATATTTATTTATATTTTCCACATTTATGTTAAAAACATGCTGCAGTCATTAGAAAATGGGGGGAAAATTGCTTCTTTTAGCAATCACATTGCAGGCAGACATATTACTTTCAAGGTCACAATGTCAATACGTCACATGATTCTTATCGCATCTGTACAGATGTTTTGCATTTACTATCTCAAAAACAAAACAGTTTAAGAATTGATTAGCATTTAAAACTATCTGAAATGAAATTTACCCCATCATTTTTTAATTTTTTCTATTTTAGTAATTAATACATATTTCAGTTTAAAAGTTTGTTTTCTTAATTTTACAGTGGTATGTAATATTATATTCCTTTATGGGACTTAAAAAATTCAATACCTTAAAATTAATAAAATTCAAACATCTAAAAACATGTTTGTTACAAAGATTTGAAATTTTCAAAGGTTATAAAACAAACCCTTCATTCTCAACAAATCCACTATTCTGCTAAGTTTCAAATGTAAAAAAATATGGCTGTAATGCTAAACAAAAATTAGACTTAGTCGCACTTAAAAAACTTTTAAATTGTTTATAATTCCACAACTAAAGGCCTGTGAGTTAACTAAAGGCATAACCTTAACTGGAAGATAAGAACAGCATAATTCAATCATTTTTAAAGCAGAAAATATGCAATTTACAAACATATAAGAATAAAGACACTGAGCTCACTAAGCCAAATAACAGAGTGGATATATATATACATATATTTATATACTTTTCATGTGGCCGATTGCAACCAAAAATGGAAGTGCACATCTACATGTTATAGCAGTCTCACACACAAAATTTCAACATTGTGAGGCTATTAGTTTTTGAGTTATGCAATATACGTACATGCAGACGCCACAAAAAAATCTCTTCTGAATCCATTTTAAATCAGTTTTATAAGTCGTTTGGGGGAAAAGAATCCTTTATTCTGTCCTTACGTACAGATGTCACACACACACACACAAAATTGTTAAATTGCATTAGATATTGGTCAAAATGAATATTTTGGTTGAAATAGGGTACTAGGAATTTTTCGTGAGAGCAATACTTCCTACTTTACTTCATACAAGGAAGTAAAAATATAGGCTAGATGAAATATATCATGAACATACACCTAAATTAGACACATATCAACTAAAATAATGATCTGTGATTTATAAAATACACATTTTCATATCATTTTGTGCACAAATACATTCACTGCATTTGCACATAGTAGACCATCTTTAATATTCACACTAATGAAATTAATACAGCTTCACGCTAATGAAGATCACAGCTTCATTTGGAACAACTAGATACTGTGTTTTTCCTTAACCACTTGCATGAGATGGTAATCTCACAAGCACATCTTCCATTCCTCCGGCCAGATAATGCACAGTGAACCGTCTTGTGCACCATCTCTCTAAGACAGGCATTTCTAGAAATATGATCCATATTTCTCAAAACACAGGCATATTTTTGTTTAGCATTAACTAAGACGACGACCTTTACAGAAGATCATGGAAAAACCAAGGTCCACCATAATCGGTTAATTAATTATGGCAAAACATGAATTGGACATTAAGAATGGTTAACTCTGGAAAGATTTTCTAAACTATGTAGTCTGAAATAGACAGTAAATCATTCAAAGAAAATCAAAAAAGAATTTAATTTCTGGAAATATGGCTGAAACAATGCTATAATGATAACAGCATCCTTCCTTTTTTTTAACTCTACATTACATTGCATTAATTTTATACAATACCAAAATCATCAACACTCATTACATAAAAAGATATAACTTACCCAAGATATCCATTGCCACTCCACTGATCAGGAATCAAAATTAGAGGTACTAATTCTTCACTACGCAAAACACTTACATGAATTGGTTTCTGGAAAAAATTTAATTCCAGCATTAAAAAAAGATTAAAATTCCAATTTAAAATGACTTGAAGAAAAATAAAGCCTAAAATAAAACAGCAATTTAAAAAAAATCATATAATTGAAAAAAAAAATATTCATATACACAACTGAAAATATATACTGAATTATTACTAACAAACAATTCATTAAAAAACTGAGTCATAAGCAAGAAATGAAGTTCATTTTTAAAACTATGCAGCATTTGATATGTTTATGCCAAAATTTAGCACTCATCTTTACAACTTTGATTGATAAATTCAATACTGTATATTTTTTTATTCTGCTTTTCGAATTATGAGAGTTTTGATGAAGATGGTATGCTGGATCAAAATATTAGCTTCAATGAAATTATTGAAGATGAAACAAACCCTCAGTTTTTTCATATAAAAATGCATTTGGTACTTCAGTATAATATAAAAAAGTTCTAAAGATGCTAAATGTTCATTTATATTGCATAAAATCCTTAAACTTTTTTTTTTTTTTTTTTAAATTTTTGAATGCATCCCAAAAAGTTTAAATCCTTCCAAAACAAACATTACTGATTGTTTTATGTTCAAAATACTAGTTTATTTACACCATACAAAACATTTGCAAGAATAATGGCAAACCAAATGAAAGATCTTCAAAAAGTAATATGCAAGTTTCCTCCAAAGTAGAGCACAATGAGTCGAATAAGTTTTTGTACAAATTTGTAAAAATTTTACAGTCACAGATGTCCATGCCTTATTCTGGCCAGTGGCTGAAAAACCAGTCACTCAGTGGCATGTCTAATCAGCTTCCATTAAACATAATAACAGGAAATCCAACTTTTCACATGAATAAGACTACCTTTGATAAATCAATACATTTTGGCAAAGCAAGTTCAAGTCATTCTTCCCTTTCCCTCAGTTCTGATAGGGACAGAAATAAAGTAACTTAAATACACTTAACTTAGATGGAATAACAAACGATAGTATACATGGTATGTTTACATTATTATGCATACACTAAATAATGCTTGAAAACCATAAAATATTAAAAACAGCATTGCTATCATAATTAAAGAGTTTGAAAATGATTTTATATTATCTCCCAACACAAAATGACACAAAAATGGAAAACAATGTCATTTTTGTAATTAGTACACAGAATTACTTATTTCATGTTATTCTGCATCCTTGTAATAAAAATTAAATTCTGTTAATATATAAATTTTTACTACAATCTAGTAATAATATAAATTATTAAAATAAAATTATGAATCTTTGCAGCGTGTAATTTTTATTGTGAAAAATACGATTTTGCTAAACATCATTGTTGACCAGTGCAAATAATTTTTACAAGGTTTGTCCAAGAAATTCCAGGACCGAATTTAGAACTAAGAAACAAGAATAGACGTGTATTAGCAGAATGCTTGCCGCAATTTGGTGATTTTTTTACAGAAGAAAATGTATCAAGTTTTATAATTAAAAAAAAAAAAAACTATTTATTACATACATACATATTACTACATGCATGCATATTTTATATTTCCATTAGGTCCTCAAAATTTATTCCATTTATCCTCAAAATTGGTCAAAAAAACAAGGTGTTCCCCCCTCCCTTTAGGTCTGGTGAAAAATTTGTTGGGACCATTTTAAGAACAGATGCAAAGCAATTGTTAAGTGATTTTGTGGCTAAATACTGTATTCCTACAAAAATTTTATCACAGTTCCTTCCTTTACAACTAAATTCCACATGCACATAACTTTAAAATTGAATTTAAGACAAAAAAATAAAATAAAATAAAATAAAATAAAATAATCTTTCTGATTTGTATATAAAAACCACTGGAATTCAGAATACAGAAGAAAGACTGTGTACAAAAATGAAGATGTTCATTGTTAAAACTGAATTATTTCTGAAGAACTGTCACACTCATGGTTGCCCAGTTTGAAGCATTCCGAAATTTTGGCAACTTCTGCTTAGACTGTTGCACTAATCTATAAGTACTGCAATAAAAAATGAAAATTATAATTAATTTTAATATTTTTCAAAATAATCAGCTAAATAATTTAATATGTGAATCTGAAAGTTATTGGAACATGTTCCATACTCATTTGTAGATGTAAGTCGATGTTCCACTATCACACAATTCGAATAACCTAAACAGGAAATCGGTGCCCTTTTATAATTGATTTTCATTTTAGAAACAGAAGATAATCTGATAATGCCAAAGAGGAATTGCGGTTTATTTTTACAATCTACCATATGGTCAAGAGCAGCCTCATATGAACGGCAAGGACGGGACTTGGCATCATGTAAGAGAAACCAGATACTTTTCTTGAAACTGAGGTTTAACGTAATACATTCTTTTCCCTAGTCTGTCCAAAACTGTTGTATAATATTTTATATTTATAGTCTGACCCAAGGAAACAAACTTATGGTGTACTGACCCCTGCCAATCAAAGAAAACAAATAATATCCCGTTGTTTGCATGCCAACTGAACAGAAATACAGATTGTCAATTTTTAAATAAAAATTTAAAAAGTTGCAAATTGTCTACGATCAAGAGTCAACAAGTATTCTTCTCCTGAAATCTTTTTTATCTTTGGCTTCATTTATTGAATTTTAAAGTAGAAAATTTAGCCTCTTAATTGTACATCACTATATATACAAACAAGAGATAATAATTAAATCATGAAAGGGGTTAACATTCTAACAAGAAATACACATATCAAAACTAAAATAAAACAATTCAATAATAATATACGATTGTTGAAAATGCCTTGGTCTTTTTCAAGAAACAGCCTAAAAATGTTCAATAAAGCCCCATTTCTTAAAACAATTTAAAATAAAAATTAATAGAAACTGCAAAAAAAGATTATTTAATTCAAATTTAAACAAATTATAAAGTTAAGACACAATAACACGCCGAATAAATACTAATTCAGAAGTCAAACAACGTTGTTTGACTTCTGAATTAGAAATTATAAAGTGCTCTAAAAATGCAATAAATTAAAGTTTAAAAAAACTATTGATGTTTTTTAATTTAATTAATCAAGATATAATCTGCTTCAACATGATTCTAAAATAAATAATTGTAAAAATAAATATTATAAGAAGAATCCTTTAGTAAGAAACCAGAAAAACTACTAGATAACTAAAAGAAATGTGCTAAATACATATATTTTGAACTAAACAATATTAACTAAATTCTGAACGAAAGAATAAACCCAACTGCTAACACCTTTGTACACCAAAAGTAAAAATTTCAAGATCAAAATTTTTAAGAAAATTAGTTAATTAAAAAGAAATTTATTAAAAGCAAAAATGTTTTATAAAAACATACAGAAAAGTTTCCAAATTTGAGGGAAAATGGGGGGGGGAACACATAGAAAAATAGAAGGCTTATAACCTAAAATGGAAAAAGGAAGAGATTAAAAATGGCAATATGCATAAAATTGAGAAAATCACCAATAAAACAGCAGAAATTAATTTAAAACAAATTAATTTGAAAGGAAAATTGAAAAGAAATTAAAACCTGAATGAAATATTATGCCCATCTGATGTTTCTATGCAATTACTAAGAGTGCTGTTTAGAATAAAAGAGTTGAATGGTACGTGGTCTTGTGATAAAAGGAAATAAGACAGAAGGCATACTATAGGTTTGGAATGGAAATGGTTAGTAACAGAGACAGAGGAACTATTTACAAATTTACAATTGTTATGCATGCAATAAATACTCCAAACTTGGTTTAAGTGAATCCTATAATGAATAATAAATTAAAATTAAAACAACCTACTGTGTTATTTTTGGAGAAGTAAGTTGATAAAATTATGTGAAAAAGTATAATTGTTAGGTAATGAATTTCTTAATATTTTCAACCTGTAGTGCAAATATTTTTAATTCTTAGAATCTGGTCAATAATAGTGTTAGCAATTACTTTTTTGGAAATTATGGAATTCCAACAAATAAGGTTAATGGCAGGAAGGTCCTTTTTTTTTTTTTAACAAAAAGCATAGGTTGAGAATTTTAAGGTCAAGGTAATCAATCTCATTATTACTGGAATTGGTTTCATTAAGTTTTATACATAATAAAGATATAAGATAAGTTATAGCCATTTCAATTAACCCAAAATTATTGAAAGTGATAAGACGATCAATGCATCTAAAAGGAAGATTAAATTTATCTATGTGATTACTCTTGTACACAAAGAAAATAATTGTAAATAGAAGTTGAATAATTGGTGTTCATGGAAATGCCATTAATTTGCAGAAATCTGTTTGTTTGTTTTTATCTTTAAATTTGATAAAATTATGGAATCCATTTTTAAAAATTAGGGATGTTACTGAGTGCTAAAAACAATTTGTAAAAATTCATAACACTATTCATTTCTTTTAATGAAAGAAAAGTTGTACCAAAAAGAAGAAAGAAAGTTGTTGAAAGAAAGACTGTTGAAGAAAGTTGTACAGAATAAAATTTATGCCTTTCTTATTTAAAAAAAATATACTTGCTTGCAGGGGCGTAGCTAGAGTTTCCAGCGCCCAGGGACAAATGAAGAATTTGCGCCCCTTTCTGTGTGCCAAGAATGGAAAACATTTCATTAAAAAATTTCGTAGCATCAATTTGGCACCCCTTGGATGCTGCGCCCGGGGACAGATGTCCCCCCTTGCCCCACCCTAGCTACGCCACTGCCTGCTTGTCACACCAAGAAAGAAAATAATTTTATTTTGCATTTCATTTAATTTTATTTCTTATAACAAGTAAAAACAGGATCATTTGTAAACTTTACAAAAAACATAAAAAAGAAAAATTTTAAAATGCAATTTTTCCAAAAAAATGTAAAATTAAATTTAAGTTACTTGTCGCAACACTGTTGGCTTGAATGACATTTTGAATTACACTTTTGAATTACAAGGACATTTCATATTTTGGCACTCTGTTTTACACATAAACTTGATGAATTCTTGGATGCTTCCACTGAACTGAGCAACTGCAACTGACCACGAGGGATTTTGTGATCACAAATATCTTAAATTCCAAGCAAGTTCTCAGGCATAAAGTGAATTGTGATCTTGCATATAGTTGTTAAAAAATTCCCTCAGAAGTTCCAAGCCGGTAGAAACCATCCTCTGTCACACTCATTACAACTGCCAAATACTGCACGCATCACCTCGTTCTTTGCTAACATCAGGAATGAGAACTCGCACAGTAGTTTCCAAAGAAACAGTGGGAAACTTTTTTTAGACTTGCATTTCTAGACTGATTTTAGAATGAATTTTACCTTTGACAGCATTTTGTTTTTTAAAAAAATGCTTACTAGCATGGCTACAGAAATTATAATTTTTTTACAACACTTTGTGCATGCACTGGTTGCCTTTAAACACATACAACAGGTAACAGGAACGGAAATCTCTTTGGTAAGCATGTCATCATCATGTCAGTTTAATACACCATCGAATATAATCTCATCTATGTTTCTTTAAACAAACTCTTTGCGTAAGCTAATTTGCTTTATCTTTTTGCATCAGTTGGACACTTTATATCATTTTTTCTAGCAGCTCCTCTGTATTTATGTCTTTTAAAACATTTTTAGGTAGAAAAGAAGTTATTAGATTTGCAGCCAAAAAGGCTTTGTGTCCTTTGGATTCCAGAATGATAAGCTCTATTTCTTATAAATCAAATGAACCATAGTCCTTCACTCCACTGGTCAAATTTGTAGTTCTGTATCCATGTACCGGATATATTTTCAATATCTTGATTAGCTTTTTCGACACTATCCAGGATTTGTGAATGGCAAGGGTTCCTATAGACTATCTTCAGCGGTAGCCAAAAATGCTTCAAACTGCTTCAGATTATTAGCAAATTCGCTAAAATTGGAATATACATGGTGCCCCAAGCAATAAGAACCATGTCCACTTATTCGTAGGCTATTTCTTCTGCTCTTTTTGACATCAGTCTTCAGAATCACAAATTTTGTGGAATGATCTTGGAACACTATAACAAATTTGTATTCTGGAACTGGAAAACAATAAGATTTACCTGGCATTGAGAATTAAATTTAGAAAAAAATCATACGTTTCACAACGCTCTTTTTAATACCTATTTGTTTTTCCTGATAGGAAAAGGTGGATGTAGAGTTCAATATCATTCATTATATGTAAAGTTTTTGTATTTGGTTAAAGTTCTCTCAACATCTATCATGCCCTCTCTTCAACAGCCACATGAGTTTCATGAAGTATGTGAAATAACTCAGTGTCCATTATGTAACTACTGTATAATACTGATGCCTTCTTTAACAGGATAAATGATACTTTTGTTATCCACAAACAATCACATCATAAACCAATAGTCCCATGGTTACTCCTTAGTAGCCATCTCGCCTTTTTTACATCATTTTGGCCTTTTTTACAGTTTATGGTGAGTAATTTTGGTTAACAAACTAAACTGCAGCCTAACTCGAAGCTTAGATAGTTCATCTTCGAATTGTTGCTGCACATCTACTGAGTGTGACTCCTTCTCCAATACTATATCTTGCTGTTTGATTTTTATTCAGCACAGTATAAAACTAATTTTTTGCTGAACAAATTTAAGTGAGTATTTTGATACTCCTGAAAAAAGCTCAAAATGCAAATGGCAAATTCTGAACCTAATGGAAGAGCATGCATTTTGACATTTCCAAACACAGTATAAAATGCAAATGGCAAATTTAGAATCTCAGTGAAGGAATAAAAGTCGCGCACCTTACCCTGCGATATTCAAAATTAATCGGAAATGTATTTCATACTTTCCGATTACCATAGAATACCTACTTAGGCAATGTGAGAAATGTTTAATCGCTTCATTGTTGGCCAGTTTTCGGCATTCTCTAAAATATCTAGGTATTCTATAGAATGATGGATTTTACACTTTGGCAGTAACATTACACACATACATACATAGATATATAAAATCAAACATCTAATATTTTAATTAATAATATTAATTTCATACCCTTAGATTTTCGGTAACAAGTCTTGCTACAGCAGAAAGATTCTCAAAATTTCTGTACTTCAAGGTACCAAATTTTACTATAAGATCACCAACACGTAAATCCTAATGTAAAACAAGAGTAAAAATAAAACAATGAAATATGATAAAATGTTTAAAATAAAGTCAGTGATTAAAAGTTAATATATTAAATATGTTCTCTAAAAAGTAACAAAACAATATGGCAATAAAATATACATTACATGCAAAATCTTCAGCAATCTACATCTGACATTAGATCTATTATAATCTCATCTCATTTCTACTGCTTTTGAGTGTATATATATATATATATGCATGTGTGATTAATATTGTATATATATTGTATTTAATATGTGTATACATATAGATATAAGATAAAAAAAATATGTGAATCAAAATTATAATTTAAACTAATAGCAACTCTTTAATTCTCCCTCTCTGTTCTAAAAATCGTAATAACTTCTTTGGATTCAGTCATTTCTAGATCATTGCACAGCTCTGATGATGTAATCATTGGGAACTGAAACTTTTAACTCAAACCAAAACCTTTCTCTTTGTGTGCTTCATCTTGCATAACTACATACTTTAGCTTTTGCATTTGTGCCGCTTAGACGCTGTTTCATTCTGCTCTGTTTTTATCGCAACAATATCAAAAATGTAAAATTTCTTGAATAGACATGATTAGAGTGTCAAGTGAACTGTGGCCACAAATGTCAACTGGAAATAAAGATGGAATTAAAACTGCCTTGACTGCCAAGTTTCTTAGCTATTATGAACTCAACATATTAGCATACAACGCAATCGGAGCTCTTCCTCTTCAATATGGATCTACGTATGCATCAACACTGCTTGAATTTTCCCTTATTATTACATTACATATTCATATATATATATATAAACATAAAGCATCTAAATTAATTAGTAAATTGGATTAAAAGCAAGGTAATTCCTCTATAATATAACAATTACAACCATGTATAAGAGGTTTAACACAATATCAAAACTAGACCAATTAAAGAAAGAATTAATAGTAGAATAATCTCGAAAAATAAAAATGCAAAAGGGAAAATATGTTTCGTTCTCCTGGTCCATTTGAGATCAAAACCATAAAAATATTACATAAAAAAGATCAAAAACTGTAAAACAGGTTTTAAAATTTTTTTTATTTATAATCTTTAGCCTATTTTATATTTTTTTTAATACTTACTATGATTAGCAGCTTTTAACACTTGTGTTCCAGTTTCCTTTAAGGCTTTTAGTCAATTTACGTGTGTGTGTGTGTGTGTGATTGTGGCAAAGCTTCGAGGGCTATCTGCCTAATGGGAGGGATGCCTTCGTGGAGGACTAAGGGAAACTGGCTCGTATACACGTTACACATGGGGAAAACCACGAAAACGCCCATGCAGCCAGCCCGTTCACGGGATTCGAACCTCGGACCGAACTACCAGTGTTCAGCGACTTTACCGCTCGGCCGCTGGTGGGCAGTCAATTTACGATTAGTGAATGTGGAAGATTTTCCCCTTTAATATTGAGCAATTTTTAGGTTTTAGTTTTCCTTACAAAAAAACTAACTGTAAAGTAGGTTAGCTTCCTCTTTACCTTCATACTTTAGCTCACTTAAAGTCAACTGAAATTGTCGAACGTAAAAATTCGCTTTGAAAAACTTGTAGATTTAATACCACTTCCTCACTGCTCAGTATAAAACAACAAACACTTTGAAAAACTTGTAACTGTATTTACAAAATCACTTATAATAAATATAACTTAAGTTATATTGGAAAAACCAAGAACAAACTTAACATTAGGATTAACAACCACTGAGCTCACATTAAAGAATTTAAAAGTCTGCCTCCTAAGCATAAGAAAGATGCTTGATAATAATGCTGCGGTTCTTGAACATTTTCAAATGCACAATTTCGAACAAACTGGTATTTCTATTGTGGATATTATTCCCAACACAACATTAGTATATATGTATTTTCATTAGTTCATTAGGATATATTAGTATATAAAACCTTTTTAAGGAATCAGTTTACATACTACAAAATAAAACACTTTACCCTTACGAACTCAATTCTTATTTACAGACTAATTTAAGAGATAAAGACAATTCAGTATATAGTCAATTTGGAAGATTCTGTACCAAACAACAAGAGGAACAAGAGAAGGAGATAGAAATAAAAGACTTTTTTTTTTTTTTTTTTTTTTTTTTTTTTTTGCTGTACACTTTGAAAAATTGATTACAAAATTTCATAATTTTTTCAGCAGCAGCTTTTCATTAAAAGGATTAGCAATTTACTATACAGGTTCAAACACAAAATAATTAAGCAATTGCTCTACCACTTTCAATTTAAATATAAAGGCCTCCAATTAGTAAAAGACATTAGAACAGACTTTCATAAATACAAACTACATAGCAGTAAATCTTTTGAAAATAGACATTTCTGTAGTATCCGATTCAAGCATCCTGTTTATGACCGATTAAAAATTAATACATTTTTCAAACTACAACAATATCTATTTCCAGACAAAATACAGGCAATACCAAGCTAGTGATAGCTTGGTATTGCCTGTATATTATGTCTGGAAATAGATGTTGTTGTAGTTTAAAGGGTGTATTAATTTTTAATCGGTCATAACACTAGGTAGAAACTAGGTAGCTTAACCCTCTCACTGCACATCCCGCGATTTCCACGGGCAACATAGAAGTAGCAAATTTGTGCTACCCGCAATTTCCGCGGGAATGAATTTTTGACATCTATTTAACTGTGCAACCTGCACTTTCCACGTTCAAGGTTTCCTTTCGGCTTTTCTGTAATGTTTAATTGTTTATTTAGATGTGGGCTAACAGATGGCATTAGTTGTCCACATTTCTGCCAAATATACAAGAATAGGTAATGTAGCATTTTGTATGCACTTTTCAGAGCTCAAAATGCCAGCCAAATTTCGATTCATAGTTAACGGGACCAGAAATTACATGAAAGAAATAGACTACCATTTCACGAAAATACTTTAAAAAGTTCTCTACATCTATTTCTACATGTTATTACAGTTATTTCCAAAGAAGAGTGGAAACTATATTTAAAAAGTATTCTATTTAATAACTACATAGCATTTAATAATGCTTTTTTTAAACAAATACACAGAATCCCGATGGAGACTTGCTCAAGATCAACGATCTGTATTCTGTACCTTTTCACCAAGGAATTTCATTTCCAACAACAGTTATCTCAAGTAAAATGTTCATATTACTCTAACATTTACAGATACATAGATATCATTACATTCAACAACTACAATCAAACAGAATACGATCGCATTTATTCTTCATGTTTGATACTAAATAAAACTAACTTTCAACAAGAAGATATTTACCTAGACTTGTAAATTATCAATTTTAAAGATATTAAAATCTACGACAAAAGAAGAGATTTAGATTTCCCGACTCATCCAGAGGCATTCCAATATTTTCGAAAGAATAATACTTAATACCATACATACTCAATTCATCAGAATCAAAAATATTTGCAACAGCAACTAACAACTTCTTGTAAGTTGAATACTTAGTCAATATTCTCTTAGAAAATAAAACACCTCGATTCAAAATTTCTATATCTTTAAAGAAAGCTGGTATTAACTACTTTTTTAAAATTTCTCATCTAAAGTGATATGATAATTATTACTTAAATCTTAACTGGACGTAATAGTCAAATGACTACGATAAGAAATTTAATGTAAATATGTACAAAGAGATCTTGTATATATTTTTTCCCTTTTAATTATTTTTAGTATTTTGTAAATTTATAACTGGCAAAATCTAGCTGTTAATAAAAAAATGGGGTTTCTAGTATTTAAGGCGTACTGTACTTCCCACTCAATACTATATGAAGACTGTTACCTTTTATAATATATACCTTTTTTCCTTTTCCTAAACTCTGAGCCAGTTCTGTTTTTGCGCTCTAAGATTTTACAGAGAGCAGCTTCTTTTAGAAGTTTTTTACGCCACCATTTTCGGTTGACGATCACCTTCTCCTCATCAGTAATAATTTTACAGACCACACCCCATCACTGACACTCCCCCCCCACAAAATATATAACAGGGTATGGCATTTTAAACACATGTTAAAATACTTTATTCTGCTATTGGACAGTTTGAACCTTACTTTTCAAAGAACCTACAAAATTTCGCCTTTTTAGAGCAGTTCGAATTCTACTTTCTTTAGCAAGTACACTGTTTGGTCATCTTTAGAATTCAGTTAGAGCATGCATAGAAGGTCGCGTTATGATTTCAGTAAATTCGTCTTTTTCAGTTATTGTTTCAGATAGGTTTTCAATTTTTTAGCTGTATAAAGCTCAAATTTAACTTTTTTATTTATAGAAATCTCTAAATACAATTTTTCATTTTCTTGATATTAAAAGTTTAGCATAATCGGAAATCTTCCAAATTTTTAGTTTGTGTAAATTACTACATGTTTTGCTCTTTATTTATACTTGCTTTGAATTTTTATTAGCATATACAGTCAAAAGTTGTTAATTCGGACACCCATAATCCGGAATGATCTATAATCCGGACCTCTGACGCATGCGCAGAAAGTTTGTAAGACCATGCATTTACGGTTTAAGAATATAGGTGTGTGCGTGCGCAAAATACTTATACGAATGAGCGTTTAATGTATAAGCTAAGCTAAAATTATCTAATTCAGTTAATGTTGCAGATTGCGTTGTTTCTTAATCTTCGAATTGGATTTGGCTTATTATTTTTTGCAGACTGTTAGAGCAATTTTATAAAAGTAAGCTTGAACTTTCGATTATGTCGAATAGAATTTCTGATATATATTTACTAATATGTAAATCATCTACAAAGCGAAAGTATGTTTCAAAGTTAAACAAAAAGTGGAATTGCTGCAAAAAATGGATAAAGGCATCCTTTGTTTATCTAAACTTTAACGTTTGTTTATCTTTAACGCTGCAGCGCGCAATGAATTGGAAGTTCATCTGTCAGCACTATCCTTATCTTCAGGGCAAATGTTTTTATTTTATTTGGCTTATAATTCCTTACTAAATGTAGTATTTAATCTCGATGT